GCGCATGTGGAGCCAGGGTGATGACAGCCAAAGGCTCTGTCGGGACCTGGGCCCATGTGTCCTACAGGGAAGTGGCCAGAGCTGGGCAGAGGGTCTTGGATTCCAGTCCCAGCTTCACTGGAAACTGATGCTGGGGGCTTGGTTGCTCAGTTTCCTCCCAAGTTTTGCAGGCCAGAAGCTTTAGCAGCATGTCTGATGTGCTCACTGTTTGTAATCAGGCCTTCATTTTCTTAAGTTTGAAGACACCTCCCTTCCCATCTCCTAGTGAAAAACAAAAGAGTTCGCCCCCTGCACCTCCACCACCACCATCACCACCCTGGCCGACTCTGGAAGGGTGCTTGGGCTGCTGGGACCTCTGCTGAGAGCCAGGCTTGCATTTGGGACACCATCATATGCATTCTGCTGATACCTCCTGGCTACTCTCCTCTGGATGGATGCCCTGCTGGCCCTCCTTGCCACTGCTGCCATGCCAAGGAGGCTGGTTCGGGCAGGCACTGGGCTCTCTGGCCAGCAGGCAAGGGCACAGTGGTGCCAGGGGAGCCTGGATGGGTGACTGACATGCACACTCTACAGCCATCGCCGGTTCCAGCTGTCTGGTCTGGCCCTTGGCTCTGTGCTGCTTCCCTCTCCCATGTAGCTGGTCTTGCTGCTCCCATCTGTGCTAGCAAGGTGAGCCCTAGAGAAAAACCTGTAGCAGGCAAGCATCCTCCACAGGCACCTGTGTGACTGCGTGCTTCCTGGCCTGCAGGCACATACGCTCCCTCGCCTGCAAGCACTGCCCAAGCGACCCTGTGTCCAAGCCCCACATGAAACTGGGGCAGCAAGCAGACATAGCCAGTGACGCTCTGATTGGAGAATGGGGCAAAGGCTTCTCTTGTCCCTAAGAGTTTCCCATCAGGCCCCTTGTCTGCTCCCAGGGCTCTCTATGCCCCATGCCATTGACCAGTGGCTTGAGACAGGGCAGCAACGTGTAGGCGGTATCCCCTTCCCCAACTGTGCTCCAGGTCACTGTCTCCCATTTGGGGACACAACTTGTCTTCCCATTAGAAACTCAGTGAAGACAGGGACCGTGCTTTTGTCATGCGAATACCCTCTGTACTTCTGCATCTGAACAGGACCTGGCATGTAGTGGGTGTTGAATAAGTACTCAGTATAGCATTTTATAATAACTGAATGGATGAACATGGTACTGGCTGCTCAGGTAAGTAGCTGAAGGTTTTCAATACACTTTAACAAGTTGCTTTAAACACTAGTTTTGTTTCTTTGAATGGCAGAGGGACAGAAAGAGAGACACAGAGAGATCTTTCATCTGCTGGTTCATCCCCTAGGTGGCCACAGTGGCTAGTTCTGAGCCAGGCCATAGCCAGCAGCCAAGAACTCCATCCTGGCCTCCCATGCGGGTGGCAGCAGCCCAGGCACTTGGGCCATCTTCCACTGCTTTCCCAGGCATATGAGCCAGGAGCTGGATCAGAAGAGAGGCAGCCAGGACTTCAGCCCACATGCTAATATGGGATGCTGGTGTTGCACCCAGTGGCTTAACCCATTGCACCACAGCGGTGGCCCCAGGCTGTACGTATGCTAAGAAACTTATGGGAATGGGCTTGATAAAGGGCCTGCTCTGTGCCAGATTGAGTGCTGCATGCTCCAGAATGTTATCTTCAGGCAGCTTTGCATCCAAGTGTGACAGCCTTGCAGGTGCAGTGCCACCTCAGGGAAATCGGCTGACCACCTGCTGCGCTCTGCCAGTGGCTACACTCTGTGATTATTTTAGCATCAGGTCAGACAGACATATCAGAAATAGAAATTCCTGGGAATCGTAGGAGTATTTGGTCTGAGTATGAGAAATTGAAGTGTGTGGGCTAGATGTGATGTTTGATTAATAATGGAGGCCCATAAAGTAAGGACTTAAACTAGGAATACCTTATTCTGTAGTCATAAGAGTCAGCATTTTGAAAATATGTATTCATCTATTTGATTTGAAAGACACAATTACAGAGAAAGGGAGATACAGAGATCTTCCATCTGCTGTATCATTCATATGGCTGCAACAGCTAGGCTGGGCCAGGATCCCTGAACTTCTGAACTTTATCTGGGTCTCCCACATGAGTGCAGGGGCCCACACATTTGCACTGTTCTCCACTGTTCTCCACTGTCTTCCACAATATATTAGCAGGGAGCTATGCCCTCCACCGGGTCAGGTCCCTGGAGGCTTGCAGCAACCTGGCAGTAAGCATTATCCCACCTCACCCACATGTGAGGAAGTGGGGGCAGGAAGGACAGCACCCTGCTGGAATTTTCCAGGCCTGAATTGAAGGAGTGGCACTGAGAGGGGAAGAGGGAAGAAGGCTGGCGGTGAAGGTGTTCAAACAGGAAGACACCCAGGGCCCTCCAGTCCTCAGCTGTCAACCTGGAGAGGCTTCTCAGAGTCACCTCTGGACTCTTTGACCTGCCCCCCCAACCAGGTCTATGCCCCCAGGGCAAGTAATCCCCTGACCTAATGCAATCTGACCTTTCACAGAAGAGAAAAGCTTCTCCCTTTTCAACGGCTGCATAATATTCCTTTAGGTAGACACATGTTTCTGGCTGTTTGGCCATTTTCTGTCCTATCATTTCAAAGAATGCCACCAGGAGGCATCTCATCTCCAAGTCCCTTTGCCTATGCGCTGTTGCCTTTGTCATCTACTGCTGCCTCTCAGTCCTGTGCCAAAGAAACCCATTCTGGTTTCTCCATTTCAGATCTGTCACAGATGGATACTTATGTGAAATTCAATAAAAAGTGAATTACTATCGAAAGGAATTGGAAAAATAAGCGCATGCAAAATATAGGCTCAAATATTTTGTTATTCAATTCAGTACACATAAAACCACTGTCAAATCACAATAAAGGTTTTTATACACCAAATCCTAAGTTTCTGTATTTATCTTACCAGAGTCAATACAGGATGTGAATTCATGTCAGTTTCTGGACCGCACTTTGAGAAGCCTGGGTCTTCATTCCCAGGACTGGGTTGGAGGTCAGTATGTATGTAGGTGGTTCTGCCAGTGGCTGTGCCAAGTTGCACAGTGTCTCTTTCTCCACAACCATATAAAGTGTGACTTGGAGCTCTGCTGCGCCGATATGTGACAATTTGTGTATTTGCCCATTTGGGCTTTCTACACTGAAATAGCCCAAGTTTGTTTAGGTCAGTCTTGGAGTTTAAGGGGAAGGTGCCAGTATTTGGCTCTGGTGAGGGTCCTCTTGGCTGTGCCATATCATGGTGGAGGTACATGAAGCCAGGATCCTGTCTAGAGACAGAAAGCTGGAGTGCAGACCTACTCCAAAGGCACTCCCAGAGGTACTCCAGGGCCCTAGGGCCTTGCCATCAAGCATCACCTTGTATTAGAAAGATTTATTTATTTGAAGGACAGAGGTACAAAAAATGAGGGAGGGAAGAAAAGAGAGAGAATCTTCCATTTGCTGGTTCATTTTCCACATAGCCACAAAAGCTGGGGTTGGTCCAGGATGAAGCCAGGAACCTGGAATGCTATCTGGATCTCCCACCATGGGTCAGGGATCCAAGCACTTGTTCCATCTTCTGCTGCTTTCCCAGGCCATTAGCAGGGAGTGGGATAAGAAGCGAACAGCTAGGATTCCAGCAGTTGCTCATATGGGATGCTGGGGTTGCAGACAGCAACACAATGCCAGCCCCTGGCCCCTGAATCCATGTCTTACAAGTTCTGTCACCTGTTGAATCATCACAAGTGGGGACTAGGCCTCCAACTCATGAATCGTGGGGGACAAACTGCAGTCAAGCCAAAAAGGGGGTGTCTACTCTGCATGTAATTGGGAGCAGCTGTCTTTCCTGTTTCAGACTCTGTTTCATTTCTGTTCTTTGTGCATTTTTTTTTCTTGTGAATTGTTCGTCTTTTTCTTCTTGATCCTCAGAAGTTCTTCGGGCATTAGGAATATAATACATAAATAACTATCTTAGTCCTAGTCCTGCTATGTCCCAGCGCAGTCTTGTGTGATCCAAGGCTTTGAAGGCATTGTGTCTGTAATATGAATTGGAAAAAGCCGTGTATGATATGTCATTTGTGTTTTGATTCTGCCTGATGATTTTCAGAAGGAAGAGGGCCCTCCACAGGTTTGTGATTTTTCACATGGTTAAAATGTCCATCTTTTTCTTCATTGGCTCCTGGATTTTGAGTTGTGTTTTTCCTCTGCAAGGTGTAAAATATTCTTCCAAATTTTCTTCTAGCATTTTAGTGGTTTCATCCATAGCATTCAGATCTTCTATCCACTTGGAATTTTTCTTAGTGCATACAAAGTGTGAGATGTGGATCTCAGTCTATCTTTTTACAAATAGCTTCCCCCTTATCCTGCTCCATGTATTTAAATCACTAAGATAACCACCTTTATCATTAAGACTAACTTTGAGCCATTTGGGATCATAATGGAAAGGTTTTATAATGTGACAGAGTTGTGCAGAATACCATTATGAAGGAAATTAGCTCTCGAGTTATGATCTACAATTTTGCATTGCTGGAAAAACTGAGTGAGATAAATACAATCTAAATTTATCTTTAAATCCTGTGGAGGGGCAGTGGGTGGTAGGTATTTGGCACTGTAACTCAAGTTGCTGCTTAGGATATTTGCAAGAGAGAGAGAGAAATCTTCCATCTGATGGCTCACTCTCTAGATGGCTGCAGTGGCCAGAGCTGAGCCAGGCTGAGGCTAGGGCCTGAGCTCCATCCTGGTCTCCCATGTGGTAGCAGAAACCCAAGCATCTTCTGCTGCTTTATCAGGCACATTAGCAGGAAATCAGATTGGAAGTGGAGTAGCTAGGACTTGAGCCAGTGTTCATACACGATGGTGGCGTTGAAAACATCTTAACCTGCTTTCCCATAACACCTGACCCCCAAATAAATCAATTTACTAAAATCTGAATGTATTATATATACAGGACTAACAGTCTCCACATGGGAGGACATGTTTGGCAACACTGAATGTTTGCATTGCAGGTCTTCCCCCAAGCTCGCCTCTGGGAGCTAGGACGGCCGACGGGCCCACCATGGTGATTCCAGGACCCCTGGCTGTGTCGCTGTTGCTGCCCAGCCTCACTCTGCTGGCGTCCCATCCCTCCAGCTCCCAGGATGTCTCCGATGAGCACAGCAGTGAGCAGCAGCTGTGTACCCTGAGGGAGCACCCCATCGTGGCCTTTGAAGGTGAGCACCTCCTGCCTGTCCCTTATGCAGCCACCAAGACCTGCCATCCATCCTTCCTTCCTCAACAGGATGTGTGTGGCAGGCTGGCAAGCATAGTTGGATGTCCGTGTTCTGCAGGGTCCTAAGATCCACCCTCTCTGTGGGTGAATGTTCCATAAGAGAGGATTGCAGTGGGTTGTAAGGTCTCATTGGCGTGTCCAGATTGCTATTCAGTCTCCCTCTGTGTTTACCTGGGGAGAAGGGTAGAGGACTCTCTCTCTCTCTCTCTCTCTTGGGTTCCTTTACTGCAGAGGAAAGTCACATGTGGACAAGCTAGGTGTAGGGGTAGCTGAGAATTGGTTGATGGTCTTGACTCTAGCCTTCATGGAGGTAACAGAAACTCCTCAATATCTTCTTGGCTTCTCTCGGAAAGTTTTCTGAGCTCAGAGCCAGCAAGGATGCCTAGCTGGAGGGGTCTGGGAACCCACAGCCAAAGGGGCCCTGGTGACTAATCAAGGAGGGCGACCTGAGAGTGTCCCAGTAAAGTATTTCCCAAACTGGGATTATGAGTCCTTGTCCGTGTTCCAGGGGCCACCCCCGTCTCTCACCCGTGTGAGCTTCTGAAATCAGCATGTGCATTCGGTGATAAGCTAAGAAACAGAATACACACACCCCAGCACTCCAGATGTAGAAGGTTGGGGAGCCTCTGGCTGTGATCTGACCACATACACACTCCAGGAGCCACTGGCTACGTAACAACTCGCATGGACCCTGCAGGTGTGGCCTCCAGTTCCCAGGTTCTGAAGTTGATCAGCGCTGGCTCTACTGGTTGTTGTGGGAAAGCAGGGTCTAAGGATTGTCACCTCCCTGTTTCAACAAGTAGACTGAGGCACAGAGGGTGGCAAGAGTGGCCAGTGCCTAACTCCACAGTTCTGCTGACTTCCCACATGCCACACTTTCTGTCTCCTTCTGGCTGAGCAGTCAGCCTCTGTGGCCCCTACTTCCCTAGGCAGGAGGCCCTAGCCCAGAGAATGCGGGGCCAGAGTGTGGAACCAGATGCAAACCAAAGTGGGAGAATTCATCAGTGAGCCCAAACCTGTGTGGGGTTTGTAGAGGCAGGTGGAATGGTATGGGTACCATGTGGCAAGGGGGCTGGGCTTGCTGGAAGCATGGATTCCTAGCTGTGGACAAGCCCTGTGGGGAAATGAGGTTTCCTGCTATGTCCCAGCGCTGTCTTGTGTGATCCAAGGCTTTGAAGGCTTAAATGGATTAAAGGAAATTAGTGATGTCCTAAGCCTGCAAAACGTGTGCACACCCTTAGACTCCTGATGGCTGCTGAGAGAGGGCCAGTGACTGTCGCTGGAGGGGAAGACAGAGGACAGGAAGGGAACTGGGCTGTGTCGGGCAGTAGGGGTGTGGGGGTGGAGGGCTGCTACTGGCCTGATTGATTCTGAAGCAGGGATCCTGGGAGTCTGGCAGGGAGGAATTTCTTATAGCCTTCTCTACATGCTGACCTACACTGGGCAAATCGGGTGAGGTGGGAACTGGCTGATGAGGTGGAAGGTACATCCTCAAGTGCCCAGGTGCCTGGAGTCATGATTGATTCTTCAGATATGGGCCTGAGTCAACCTGGCCTCCCAGCCCCCCACCAACCCTCCTCTGGTCTGGTAGCTTTGAGTTGTTCCTGTCTGGGCACTAAATTTTGACTGAGCCCTGCTTGGTGCTTGAACACTATGGGCCCCCCTGGAGGTGAGCAAAGGTTTCCTCATAATCCTCTATTTTGTTCTGTTGTACATTCAATGTCTTATACATTCATAATCCTCTATTTTGTTTTGTTTGTACATTCAGCCTTGACCTCCCCGCCTCCCTGGTGGCCTCCATGCTCCTGGGCCAGGGCTGGCTGTGTTCTCCCTTGCATCCCTGGAAGGGCCAGGTATGCAGTTAAGGACTCCCCCAAGCTGTGTGGCCCCTGTGCAATGGGTGGTGCCCTGTTTCCCAGGAGCTGTTGCCCTATGGCCGGGTGGCTTGAAGTTCCAATACCCCTGTGGGCTGTGACCCCTGGCTTGTGACTGGTCTGCAGCTGTGAGCTCTCTGTCCCCTTCCGTGTGGCTGATGGGCGAGTAACCCCTCAATGCCCTCCAGGAGCTGCAAGCTGCAGCATCATCCAGTCGTGTCTCTTGCAGGTATCTGTGCTTCTTGCCAGCCTGTGGGCTGCTCCATCGGTCACCAAGTGGCCTTCCTAGGTGGCAGGGAGAAGCTGGCCTGGAGTTAACACCAGTGGTGGTTAATCCACAAAGTGGGTAATTGAACTGACTGTAATTAAAATCATGGGCGCTGTCATGGAGAATGTCATTTTTCTCTTCAAGTTGCTGTCCCAAGCCTGAGCTGCACAAGGAGCTCTGGACGTGCTTGGTGTTTCAAAGACAGCCTTCCCTCTGGTTCCCTGTGCCTGTTGATGAAGTGGAGGCTGGCTCCCTTCCTGAGGCTCCCCAGATCACAGCGCTGCACCCAACTGCAGTCCGCATGCCTCGCCCCCTCCTACTTGCCACTGCCAGTTCCTCTGAGGCTGGGGCAGAGGGACTGAACCTGGAAGGGTCCCCACACCTTCCATGCCTCCCCACTGGCCTTCTCCACTCTTGCAGTCTTCTCCCTAAGAAAGGGTGTGAATGAAACCCTGAACCGCCCTACATGGAGAATTTGCTGTAGATTGTCCATGCCACCTCTGCCCCTCATTGCTGTAGACTGTCCATGTCACCTCTGCCTCCCACCCTGGCTGGTTGCCCACATTTGGAGTATACCCCTGTGAGAAGGGAGCAGAGGAGAGAGTGCAAACAGACAAGCATCCCTCCCACTCCCAGCCACAGACACACATGCACAGAGAGAGAGAGAAGACATGAGTGCAGGCAGAGTGACAGTGACATACAATGCGAATGGAATACAGAGTGACAGTGACACACAAAGAGACTGGAACACGGTGCCTACCGTGCAGTGCAAGTGTAACCTGGAGTGACAGTGACATACAGTGCAAATGGAACAGAGGTGGCTGATAGAATATGGAACAAGGTAAGATCAGGGTAGAGGGACTATAAACCCAGAAGGCATCCTGGAGGAGGTGGAAGGGGACCCTTGGTTGAGCCTCCAAGGTAGGATAACATCCTGCCAGGATTTCTGATCCTGTGGCCTTGAGGTCAGCCAGACACCAGGCCTACCAAGCCCAGACCCTCTGCTTTGTCCCTCCATGACCCAAACACCGTGGTGGCTTACATGATGATTCCTGCCAACCTACCCACAGTCACCTGCTGGGGACAGAGGCAGACCCAAGGGCCTGCCTCATCTTGCTGCAGAATTTCTTGCTTTTTTTTTTTTTTTTTTTAATGGCGCACATCACAGTTTTCTGAAAAACATCCAACTCGCAAAAACCTCCCGGTTCTCCAGGGAGCGATTAAGTGTTTGCCTGTCGTGCAGAAATGAAGGGCTGCTTTTACTCGGTAGTGGAGGGATAATGAGCAATGATTTATTTCCCCTGGATTGCGCGTGCACACACATGCACACACACACTCACTCTCTTCGGGGCCGTGTGTGAGCCAGCCACTTAGGTGCTGTGGGCACAAAGCCCGATACTTCCTTGCTCCCCCCTTCCTCTTAAGACCCAAGTGTCAGAAAGCTTGCCCTACCACACAGCTTTCCCCTCCTGCTGCTGCTGCCTTCATCCCTGAGTCATGGGCCGTGGACCAAAATGGAAGAAGCAGGTGTCTTGTGGACATGAATGAGGGAACATTGGCTGGTGCTGCTGAATCAGCTCTCGGCCATGCAGAGAGCTGCGAGCTGGCCTCTGCCCACCCAGACCCCTCTGCCCAGGGGTCGGCCATAGCTTAAGAAGGGTCTCATTTAGACAGAGGGCTTGTTGCTGACCAATACTCCCTGTGCCATCTCCATGGGGCGTTGTCCAAAAACCTGACTCTCCTTATTATTAAAAAGAAAAAAAAAAGGAGGCTGCAGATTATTCACAGTCCTTCTGACACTGAGATGCTGGGCTGGGCCTGGAGGTCCGGGGCTCCCAGGTGAACCATCCCGTGAAACCCAAGTGTGATGGGCCTTGTAATATTCAGAAAAGCAGACAAACCTTGAGTCCTGACTCTTAGGAGTTCAGGAGGGCTTCTTGGAGGAGGAAAGGTGGTGTATCACTCTTTTTTTTCTTTGTAATCTTTATTATTATTATTATTTTATAACAGCCTTAAATTTACAGAGCACAAATTGTGACATATTACATGAAGTTCTTATGTATCCACATCCAAGCTTCTTTATTCATTGACATCTTATGATATAACATTATGTTCTAATCAGTAGCACCTGCTTTTTATTTTTATTTATCAAAAGATGTTTTTCTGAGCTCCTTGAGGAAGGGGAGCATCTGCTGGGTCACTTCTGCTTCCAGCCGTGTCTTCTACACAAATCAATGGGTGTTGCAGCCCAACCCTGTCCTGCCCACCACACAGTCAGCCTCGTTGGAGCAACTCGCAATAACCTCCTCCTGGCCTGTTCCCTGCCCTGGTTTGCATGCTTGTCAGTATGTACAACAGATTGGTCTAGTGTGATGTATCATTCTTTAGTGATGGCTACAGAATGCATGCACCAGGCCTTTGATGTTGGAAGCCAAGGGGACCAGAACTTACAGGCCTTCGAAGAGGCAGGACTTTTTCCTGGGGACAGCCAAGAGCTGTCCAAGCTGAGGATGCCATAACCACATTTGCCTTTTGGAAAGATTGCTTCGAGTTGCACTGTGGGAAATGAGTCAGAAGCCAGCTTGGTTAAGAGGTGGTTTGGCACTGGTCCAGGCAAGGGGTGATGGTGGCTTGGATGGGGGTAGGGTCCAGAGAAAAAGAAGTTGCGGGGAGGGAGTGTTAGTAGAGGACAGTTCAGAACTAGGACAGACAGGCTGTGCCAGTGAGGTGGCTACTGAGTGTCTGTGTGGGCCTGGGGGTTGCTGAGCTTCTTCGAGCTGGGAGGGGACAGGGCACAAGAAGAACAGTGACCAACACAGCTCCTACAGGTCATCCAGCAGGTTGCCCACAGAGGTGGACAGGTGAACTCCAGATCTCCTGGAGGTTTACCCCCTCCCAACCCTGAATTTCACCCTCTTTGTTTCTTTGGTTGGGTGCTGGTGCTGCTGGGAGCACCTGAGCCAACAGTAACCTGAGGGTGCCTCTCCCTCTACCAGATCTGAAGCCATGGGTTTCTAACTTCACCTACCCTGGAGCCCGAGACTTCTCCCAACTCACTCTGGATCCCTCCAGAAACCAGCTCATCGTGGGAGCCAGGTAATGAGATGCACGTGGGCCGGGACCAGGAGTGGGGTGCTTGGAATTGGATGCAGGGAATATTTTGGGGAGTGTGAGTTCCACAGTGAGCAGGTCTGCCACCTGGACTGCACTCCTTCCTTGTCCCGCATGGAAGGAATCAAGTGGAAACCACACGGGGGTGCTGAGTGAGGGTGACCCCTGGACCTCCCAGATGTCAGTTACTGCAAGCAAGGCCACCTGCTGGCTACCTCCTGCCCCTCTCCAGGCTGTGCTGCCAGGACCTGCCTAGTTGGCCAGCTCCCTGGAAGCTGGAGCACAAAAAGTGCCCAGGAGCCCCCTGCTGGCTAGCTGGCCATCTGCACCCAGGATGCCCCGCACAGACCTGGCCTGGGAGGGCACTTCGCTGCATTCTGCCCAGTCCCAGGTTGCAACAGAAAATCCTCTCTGGGGGAGGCCATGTGGAGTTTCTGGGGGGAGGAGCAGGGGAATCTCCATCCTGACAGAGTCCTCAGCTCTGGAAGGGAAGGCAGCTGAGCGGGGGTCAACCTGGGATCTTAGTTGGATTTCCTGGAATGGATTCCAGTGCAGATTCTCAGGTCCCCCAGATCTCTTTAATCAGAAGCTGGGGGAGCAGCAACTGTGTTTTTCAAGTTTTAAAACATTTTGTATTTGTATTCATTTAAAAGGCAAAGAGACAGAGAAAGAGGGAGAGACACAGAGAGACATGCCTTCCATTTGCTAGTTCATTTCACAAATGCCTGGCCCGGGCTGAAACCAAGAACTCAGAACTCGATTCGTGTCTTTGATGTGGAGGCAAGGACCTAGGTACTTGAGTTATCACCAGATGCCTCCCAGGGTGCACATTAGCAGTAAGTGGGAACTGGAGGTGCATCCAGGACTCCAAACCAGGCTCTGATATGGGAAGCTGACATAGTTGTTGCAACATATCCTCTAGGTGACTCTGATGCAGGCTCAAGCTTGAGAATTGCTAGTCCAAAGCCAACCGCCCTCCTTCTAAGCACTCAGAAGCAGGTGTTCTGGCCAGGTGAAGGGGAAGAGGACAGGCTTGAGGGGGTGGGGGGAACTGGCGACCCTTCCAGGATTACATAGCAAGATGACAAGAGAGAATGGCACCAGCAATTAGGACTTCATGGTTCAGGGCTGGAGTTCTTTCTGCTAGCCTGTCCATGTTAATGCTTCTGATAACTCTCACACTTAAAAAGGGAGAGAGTTATTTATTTTTATTCGAAAGGCAGATTTACAGAGACAGAGGGAGAGATTGTTTATCTGCTGGTTCACTTCTTAAATTGTTGCAATGACTAGAGTTGTACCTATCCAAAGCCACGAGCCAGGAGCCTCTTCCATGTCTCTCACATAGAGAATGGTCCCAGTCCTTGGGCCTGTACACTCGTGTTGGGGATTTGGTGCTGGACCCTTTGGTACTTTTCAATTCTCCACCCTAGAGGTTTGGATGTGGCCCACCTGCGTGAGGGAGAAAGAAGTGGCCCTGAGACGGGGCACTTTTAGGCTATGCTTGGTCATTGAGCATCCCTGCTGTGGCCTGCCCTTGGGCTTTCTCCCTTCCTTTGCTGTATGAAAAGCAGGCAAGTCACCAAGCCCGGCGTGATAGCACAGAGGTTAAGGTCCTCGCCTTGAATGTGCCGGGATCCCATATGGGCACTGATTCTAATCCCGGCAACCCCGCTTCCCATCCAGTTCCCTGCTTGTGGCCTGGGAAAGCAGTTGAGGACTGCCCAGAGCCTTGGGACCCTGCACCCACGTGGGAGACCCAGAAGAGCTCCTGGCTTCAGATTGGCTCAGTACCCGCCATTGCAGTCACTTGGGGAGTGAATCATCTGACGGAGGATCTTCCTCTCTGTCTCTCCTTCTCTCTGTATATCCGCCTTTCCAATAAAAATAAATGAATCTTAAAAAAAATAAATAAAAGAAAAGCAGGCAAGTCATGAACAGAGCTCTGGAGTGGGATCGATGGGCTGGATTCCTGTTGTCCTGCTGGCTAATTGTAACCTTGAACCTCCATTTCTTGTCTGTCAAATCTGGGGCATATTCACACCGGCTAGGGCTGACAGCATTTCCTTTTCCTTTTGGTAAAAGGAATTCTTTTGCATTTGTGTTATGTGATGTGATACCTCAGCCTCTCTGAGAAGGAACAGGGCCATGGCTCACCCAAGCAGGAACCCTCCCCGAGGCCCACCTGGCACAAGCGTCCCTCCCACTCTTCCCGTGGAGGGCTTCTGCCCCCCGGCATCTCCCAAGGAGGAAGGACACCTGTCTTACTTTATGTTCTGAGCCGATGGTCCCTTCATATCTGGTTATAAGAAATAGTAAAGACAGCAATGCCACCCACTCTCACCTGGTGAACCAGTGGGGACATCATGCAGAATGGTGCATCACAATCAGAGCATTGACGTGGAGGTGATTATCCAGCGAATCCAATTAAAAACATGAAAGGCAGAATTACAGAAAGAGAGAAAGAGATCTTTCATCTGTTGGTTCAGTTGCCCAAAGGGCTACAGTGGCCAGGGCTACGCCAGGTTGAAGCCAGCCATACAAGTACTTGAGCCATCTTCCACTGCCTTCCCTGTCACATTAGCAGGGAACTGAATTGGAAGTGGAGCAGTTGAAATGCCAGCTGATGCTCATGTAAGATGTTGGCATTGCAGGCGGTAACTTAACTTATGCCACAATGCCAGCCCCACATGTATACTTTTAAAAACCCTCAAGATAGAATTCTGAAGGTTCTGCTCTAAACACTGAGAAAACTTTTGGGAAGCTGCCATTCATTTGGCACCTGCTATGTGTCAGGCACTGTTTTATGTACCATATGCACGTGCATGGTAAATCATGTATATAATGTCACATAGGCAACAAACCATCTCATACACACAGCAAATCGTGTGTGTAGTATATTTCATCTTCATGAGAACCCCAGAGATGGAGTCCATGGTCACCTCCACTTCTTTAGGGACCAGGAACTGAGGTCCAGGGGCTGCAGTTGGCTCCTGTGGTTTACACAGCCTTTCCAGGTCCCACCTGTAACTGGTGGGCATGTCCTCTGAGTCTGGGGGCCTCACTCTCACAGGCACAGCAATCTTTGGTCTTTGAGCCTGACTCTGTGCATCCTGTGCTTGGTCCCTTACATCCCGAAGAGCTGGTGTTAGGGCTCCTTGGCATATTTTTCCATCAGAACACTTTCCTTCCCCCTTCTTGTGCATTCCACGTCTTTTTTCCTGTTGCCTCATTTCCTGGGCCTCTGGGATGGGCTTTTGGTATTCATTTATAACCCTGCCTCATTCCATCAGGGATCGAGAGCCTTCCAGACTACAGAAATATCTCTCTGTTCTCATCTCCCAGTTCCCCAAAGAACCCACTGCAGTGTTGTAATGAATGATTTTTGATGGGCTACAAATGGATAAAGTGATGCAATGTTTTCCCTAATTTTTTAAAGCTGTGAGCAGATGCCTCTGTTACCTGAGCAGACAGCTGGGGTGAAGCCACAAGCTGGAGCCCAGCTGTCCCCAGGCCTGAAGGGTGGGGCTGGGGGCCGGAAGAGCTCTGCCAATTACTGGAGCTGAGGGACAGGAGCCAGGGTCGCCAGGTGAGGCCCCAGGACAAAGGAGCCAAGAGGGGCTTAGGCCAGGAGTCAGGCCTAGGAAGGAGTCGGCTTGCTGTCTTCCTCCACAGGGCACCTCCTCCTCTCTCTGGCCCTCTGCATCACCTTCCCTCCTCCTTTCTCTTCTCCACACAGCTGAGAGGCCAGGACAAGTTCAGAATCCAGGGGCTGGCACCATGGCATAGGAGGCTAGGCCTCTGCCTATGGCAGTGGCATCCTAAATGAGCACTTGGTTCGTGTCCCAGCTGCTCCCTGCTGAGGGCCTGTGAAAGCAGCAGAGAATGACCCAAGGGCTTGGGCACCTGCACCCATGTGGGTTACCCAGATGGTGCTCCAGGCTTCTGGTTTTGGATCAGCCCACAGTCGTTTGGATCATTACAGTCGTTACGGCTGTGTGGATACCGGTTCCTGATTTCCAACATGAGTGTTTCATGAGTGTCTGACTAGTTGTTGGCAGCAATGCCAGTGTCATTAACAGCGAAGGTTTCTGAGCCACGGACTGATCAGAGGACATCAGGGCTGCCGGAGGCTCTGCAATCCAGACTATGGGGAGAAGGTCTGTGGGCTGGCAGATGGCACAGTGGGGCTCAGGGAGGTGGGAAGTGGAGTAGTACAGGGGTGTGGCCTGCAAAGGGCAGATCGAGGGACCTGGGCTGCAGGAAGGGACTGCAAGAGATGAGGAAACAGAACAGGGATCCAGGGTCCAGGGCACAGAGCTGAGAAATAGCCTGAGGAAGGAAATGAGTGGGCCAGATTAGGGGGCTGCTGGGCTGAGTCCTTGCCAAGAGTTCTGCGAGGTTCTGACAGAAACAGTCTCCATGGCTGAAAAATGCGGCATCAGGGGTTCCCTCCCCAGGCCTGGCAGGTTGGCTGGGAACACTCTGCATGAGACATGGATGTGGACAGGCTGGGAGTTACCCTAACTCCTTCCCTTACTCTGTCTGCAACTTGGGCCGTTTTCCCAGCCTCTTGGCTCATCTGCAAACCCTCCCAGAGTTGTGTGAGCATTCACCGAGCCAGCGGGAGTAGATAGAGCTGTCTGCGGGCCTGCCTGTCTTAGGATCCCCCCCAAGAGGCTGCTTCCTGAGGTTCTGCCTGCAGAGCCAGCTCAACTTACGACTTGCGTTTCTCTTTCCACAGGAACTACCTCTTCAGACTCAGCCTTGCCAATGTCTCCCTTCTTCAGGTACATTCACTTTTCTTCCTTGTCTTCCTGGGATTTTTTTTTTTTTTTTTGGCCTTACCAGACCAACTAGGTTTGCTGGTTATCCTATGTCCAGGGTCTCAGGTCACTGGAGGGTCTTTGAGTTTGGGATTCAACAGAAAAGATATTCCCCATTCCTTTCTTTGTGTGGTCCACCGATCCCATTTTCACTCAGCCTTTAAAGTGAGCAGTGATTGATTGATTTTCTGCTGCCAAGAAAGACTTTCCAGGCATAATTCCCTAAGTGCTCTGAGAGGCATTTTAATGAGATTCCTGGATCCAGAGTGTTTATCCCCAGTTGAGGGGCAGGTGCCAGGCCATCCCTACAGAGACTAGACATCTGGAGAAAGGATGGCCAGCTCTGTCTTTCCTCCTCACACCATGTGTCTGCGAGGATTCCCATTGATCTGGTGCTCATTGGAAACTTGCTGTGGACCAGAACTGAGCTGGGGGCTAAGGAAGTGCAATGGATCTCTTGGCCTCCAGGAAAAGATGGTGAGTGATACCCATGACCTTTTTAGAGCTGGTCAAGTGCTGGGTTGTTGGATCTGGTGTTTTCCCACATCAGGGAAGGCTTCCTGGTAGGTGGGGATGGCCCCTGGTCTGCTTCCTTCTCATAATTCCTGGGTCTATCCCCTGAGATGCCATTGCAACTGGTAGCAGGCCACCCCAGAGGAGGACTCAGGGAACAGAAATGGAGGGGATCAGGAGGAACAGGCTAAGTTGAGGAGAAATGTCCTTCTGTCCTCTTAGCCATATATGGACCAGCCTGGCTTTGTACCCATCTTTCCAGCCATCTTCCCAATAAACACTTGGTGAGCACCTGCTCCAGGCCAGGTATTTGAGATCCAAAGGCCAATCTGGCTGAGCCCTTTTTGCTTCAAGGAGCATGCTCATAAGAGATCACCTATGATCCTTTCCCTGGAGGAGAGGACCATGTGGCCTGTCCTAGGGCAGGGGCAAATCCTCAGAGGCAGCATCCTTTGGCATGCCAGCTTGGCTATAAGCAGTGACTCCAGAGCCCTGGTTCCACTTGACATCCACAGAAAACAGAGCCCGTGATGCCAACTCAGCATGGCAATGCCTGGGGGATAGCTGATGCAGAAGTGGCTCAATGTGAGTGGGAGGAGGTGGGGTAGGTCCTGGGCTCTGGCTTTCCATGTGTCTCCCATGGCTTGTCAGTGAGTATGGCGTGGCTGCGGGGAGTTAGAGAGGGAACTGCACAGAGATAGCAGCAAGCTGTAGGGGGCTGTGGGGCCCAGCAGGGGCTATGCAAAAGTCCCCCAGGGAGCTGACCCTGGGCTAGAACCCCATGGATGTGTTTGGTGGACAGCAAAGGGTGAGAACAGAGGTGTGGGCAGTGTGCAACCCTGGGCATCCCGATCAGAGGCTGAGAGAGTATTAAGGGGTGGGATGTGAGGCCATGTGGCAGGGCATCCTTGCTGTTGAGCTGAGGAGTTCATATTTGATTGGGAGGGCAATGGGATTCATCAGGAATATGAAGCAGGCATTAGGGTGGGAATGAGGCTAGCATGACTCCACACTATTGGGTGCCCTCTTGGCTGTACACTGTAATCTCCAGAGGGCTTTTTAAAAATGCAAGCGGGGTGGGGAAGGGTTGGTGGGAGAGGGGGAGACCAGTGCTGTGGTATAGTAGGCTAAGCGTCTGCCTGTGGCAATGGCCTCTCATATGGGCACTGATCCAATCCTGGCTGCTCCACTTCTGATTCAATTCTCTGCTCATGGCCCAGGAAAGCATTGGAGGATGGCCCAAGTTCTGGGGCCTTTGCACCCACATAGGAGACATGGAAGAAGTTCAAGGCTCCTGACTTTGAATCAGCTCAGCTTTGGCCATTGCTGCCATTTGGGGCGTGAACCAGCAAATGGAGGAAGATTTCTTTCGTTCTTTCTTTATTTCTTCTCTCTGAAACTCTACCTTTCAAATAAAAATCAAAATAAATCTTTTTTTTTTTTTTTAATTCTAGCAGGGGCAGACAACTGGCATGGCCATGAGGCACTGTATTGAACTACCTGAGCGTGAGTCCTGGCTCGGCTCCAGTACCTATTGGCCTGCTGAGTCACTCCCTGCAGGCAGTCGATCCCAGGCACTGGGGAATGAATCAGCAGATGGGAGATATCTCTCTCCTTTGAAATAAAAATAAAATAAGGTAAAATAAATTTAAAATTACCAGTGCCTTAGCCTTGCAGATTTTTTACTTTACTGATCAGAGGTAGAGCCTGGGCACTGGGATACTAAAAACTTCCAGGGGATTCCACTGTGCAGCTAAGCATAGCTTGGGGGACCCCCTGCTCTGGCATGTCACTAACGCCTTTTGTGCACTGAGCCTCCACTGTGACAGGTGGCACCCAGGTCACAGGTCACACACATTTCAGATGTAGGACAGTACCAAGGAAAGGAAGAAATATATTTTAGCTGCACATGCTCACCCTAAAGGAGAGAAGTAGCCAGAGGCTGGGGCAGGCAGTCTGCTCTCACTGTTGGCCTCTGGAATTCAGTGTGGGGCTCTCATGCTTCTTTGGACAGAGAAAGTCTTGACTTTTTTTTTTTTTAAAAGATTTGTTTATTTCATTGGAAAGGCAGATTTACAGAGAAAGGAGACACTCTCCACCATTGTGTTGCCACAGTGGTTAGAGTTGAGCCTATCCAAAGTCAGGAGCAAGGAGCCTTCTCCAGGTCCCTGACATGGGTGCAGGGCTCCAAGACTTTGGGCCTTCCTGTGCTGCTTTCCCAGGCTTCAGACAAGGGGGTGCATGGGAAGCAGATATGAACTGACACTTGTAGGGGATGCTAGTACCTATAGGTGAAAGATTAGCCAATTGAGCCATTGCACCAGCCCCAAGCCCTGACTTTTGATGACAAAAAGCCCAGCTTCACTGAATGTCCTACATTTACCCTTCTGGGAGTTTCGGGAAGCTGATACTAGGCTTGCTGTCCTCAGTGTCTACTGCCAGCATCCAAGTGCTGAGCTGCACCACCCTGCTGATGGGGGAGCCAAAGGGAGGCCCCACCCCCAGCCAGCTTCCTTTGCTCCCTCCACTGTGGAGCCCTCCAACCCTCCCATTTGGTCCCAGGGTATGATTTAAGCAAACTTAAAACCCAGTGCTTTATTGATAGTTTAAATAATTGATGTTCCTTAAAGGAGAAGCTAAATGCAAACAGTTTACATAAGCCGGTGTCTATTAAAGGGACTTCCGAGTACCCAGCCCCTATTAAACAATTAATGTAAATGACAATTCTCTGAGGAAAATAGAAGTAGCCTGCTAACTCCTTCCTATATTCTACCAAACACTGAAGGATGGATGGGGGGTGGGGAGCAAGTGCAGCTGGGAGCAGATGGGGCATGGATTGGGGAAAATGAGGGGTGGATGTGGTGGGGGACCAGGAACAGGGGCAGCCCACCTGCCATGGTTTTTCAGGGCCAGCTTCATAAACTGGTCTTGGGAGAGAAAAGGAGGTAGGTGATCAACAGCATCAGGGGCTGTGGCGAGGACCAGCATGGTGAGCGATCTAGGATTTGACCATTAGGAACTCAGCACTGACCTTGGCCAGAGCACTTGCAGGGGGTGTCACCACAGGAGGCTTAATTGCAACAGATTGTTGAACTAGGGTTGCAAGTGTCCTGCAAGAACAGAAATGCTAACCCTGGCGGGGCTTTGTCTGGGCTGGGCAGACATTGAAGGTGATCCCGGAGCTTCTCTCTACAATGTCCAAGCTTGAACCTGACCATGCTACATGGGGGACTCAGTGCACAGAAGTTGCCTTCAGACCCATCCAGTGTCCCTGGCTCCTGAGTGTCTGGGGGAGCAGCTGGGTGAGCAGTTGAGATTGTATCCATGATCATGTCACCAGCGGTCTCTCCTGACCCCAGGAAGCGACGCAGCTGCTCTGTCACCAGCCTGGAATTTCCAGGGCAGACCTCATTGAAAGTACTTGGCATGCCAGATGCTGGAGTAGTTATCAATGTATATATCCTCATGTTCTCAGCAATCATGAGAAAAAGTGAAAGATTGGAAAAGGCACACATTGTAATGACATAATGAAAGAGGAGATGGCCACAGATGCAAGATTAAGCACCTTCTGGGGTGGAGAAAGAAGATGGTGCCATCACAGTGCCTAAGTAGGGGGCACAGCTGTAGGAAAGGCATGGAGGCAAGCTGACTTCCGGAGAGTTCAGAACCTGGAGTGTCAGAAGAGGTGGGCATTTGGCCTAGTGATGAAGATACCTGGTGGGACTCCTACATCCCTCAGTGGAGCACCTGCATTCCAGTCCCAGCTCTACCTCTGATTCCACCCTCCCACTAGTGCATGTCCTGGGAGGCAGCAGATGATGGCTCAGGTGGCTGGGTCTCTGGCATCCATGTGGGAGACCTGGATGGAGATCCTGGCTTCTGGCGTCAGCCTGTCCAAGCTCTGGCTATTATTGGCATTTGAAGAGTGGCCCAACAGATGAAAGATCTCTCTCTCTCTGCCTTTTCTTTTTTATTTAAGAGGAAATAAAAGATGTCAGGCATTGGAGAGTGTGAGGATAAAGCACAAGGCCATCAAGAGGAACTGGTCACATTTTTCTAAATGCCAAGATTGGAGCCCAGGTCTCCCATTCTATCCCACACAGCAATCCTGTCCTCTACACCCTTCCTCCTTTGCCTAGTGAAGAGCCAGGACTCACCTTCAGAGCCTGAATTTAGGGACCCCAGGAAAGATTAGAGGTATCAAAAAGGTGGGGGCTGGAATCAAGAGCTCCAGTGAAAGGCTGCCTTCCCCCAACAGCCTCAGCACATGTACCAGACCATTACCATTCACAGGCTGGAGCCTGGAGGGTTCACACTAGAGAAGCACAAGGACTCTAGGCACCATCCTCCTGGAGGCTGGCAGAGACAGGAAAAGACTGTGTTACAGAGAGAGAAAAACAAGAGATGGGGAGTGAGAGAGCTCTTCCATTTGCTGGATCACTCCCCACATG